AGTAACTTCATTTTGTGGCAAGAAGCATTTAGAGAGCTCTTAGAGAAGAAAGCTTGCTGCAGGGAGGCCTACTGCATTAGCCTTTCTGTCAAATGTCTCTCCTGTGCTTCAGGGATATTGGAAGCCAGGAGCAAGCTGAGATTTCACAAGCAGGATTCCTGTCTAAAAACAGTTCTACCATGAAGGCTTCCCCCTTCTACCAGCTTATAGGATTGCATAAAAATTTGAGATTACTGTACTGAGAAAGGGCTGGAGTGCCAGAACGAGCTGCTGTTCCCACTTTCCTTTAATTTCCAATAATTCAAAGCACATTCTTTCTCCTGTTTAAATTTTCCTCTTTATGGCAAGATGCAACATGAAGAGACAGAAAATTTTCTGCTGCCAAGCTGAAAGAGAGGGAAAAAACCCAGCAGATTGTGTTTTAACTCTTGTTAAGACTTTTAGATACACGCAGCTGATGCTTGGAAGAGCGGTATTTGAACAGTCCTAAAGGGAACTTCAACACTCCTCTCCCTGTCGTTCCTTTTCAAATATTTTCAAAGCTTTGAAAACAGTTGGTCGTTCTTCGTTCTGGCGACTTGCCATCAGCTACTGTCGGCTCCAATCAGTTCATGGGCTTCCAAGGTACCCAGTAGCCAAGCGAGCTTGAGAGAGTTTGAGACTAATGAAAGACCTTTGATATTTGGGGATACGGAGAGCTACAGAGGAATGGGTAAGTTAAAGGAAGCGTTGTCAGTTCCCGCAAAGCCTGCCTCATATTCCCAGTCACGAGGTAGCATTTCACTAATTGATTATTGTCCATCCATAACGTAGCCATGCTTTTAGTGCACAAAGCAGCAGTGTGGGCAAAGAGCTCGCTATGGTACAGTGCACGCTTGGCCTCTTTTAGAAAGCTGGGAACACGGACAAATCTGAGATACTGGACTACTTTGAATGGAACTCATTAATTGTAGCTTGGGACTTTTTTCAGCTAAGGTAAACATCTTCACTACAGACAGTGAAAATTAATAGAAGCATGTTAAATCTTCGCTGTTCCTCAGAAGAGTGGCAGGCATGCTGAGGTCAGGTGCCTGTGTTTGCTGTATAGATATACACCTCCACAGGAGGACCCGTTCCCACAAGTCCATAATGTCCTGGAATGTTAGTTGCACCTACAATTAGAATTAAAAATGAGATTGCAGAAAAACCTGGGCGAGTGACTTGTACGACCAGAACACTGGCTGCTCCAATTAAAATACTTGTTTGTTCTTCTGCGTCCCATCCCTCACACACCACAACGTAACTGGGCAGCATAAAATATGAGACTGTGCCTTAGCTCTTCTGGCTTCATTGAAAATATTCAACGTCTCAAAACAGCTGCTACTATTTAATGATCTTCTGGTAACTCAGGCTGATTTCTTTTGTTATACACTCTCAAGATTAAATTTTGCTCTGGCCTCCATTGCCTGAAGGAGGCTATTGTAAAACAGGATACTGAGAAATCAGCAAAAAGCTAAGCCAGAAAACCAGACCACTTTAACTCAAGCAGTGCTACTGCCAGTGAGTTCAGGACACTGAGATCCTGCTTGAAGCAGCCTAGTACTGTGGGCTGATGGCTGAGGGACTGCTTTACAACAAGATGAGCGGCTTTGCAGAAGAGCAACATCTCCATGACAGACTAAGAGGTGTTCTTTGATGTTAGTGTTTTAAACCTGGTTTGACCAAACTGGCTATCAGGCAAATAATTAGATGTTGATAAGCACTGCTGTTGCTTCAGATGGTGGGAAGGGATTTGCGTTCTGTTTTACAGGAGACCCATCGGATAGAGCTCGCATCTGTCAAACGCTGAAAAGCCTGATCAGGATTACAAAGGAAATTGCTAAAAAAGATTAAAATATCTAATAGCTCTCAGTCTATTGTGTTTGTGTTGGAGGAAAGTTTGGTGGACTTAAGATAGCAGCAAGGAAGAAGGAGAGGTTTTAAAAGAGGTTTTCTGTGACAAGTTTAACAGGAGGAAGTGGATGGGGAATGAGCTCCATGGGACTGCAGGAAGCCGAAGCTGAAGGAAGGCAACACAGAAATGAGAACCTGCAGCTCGAGGCAGACTATGAAATTAGTCCTGGGGCTGAGAGGACTGAGGCTGGCTGGCTGACCCAGCCCAGGTATCCCTTTGGTGCCTAGCTCCCACCCAGGCCGGCCTTCCAGGCACCACAGGAATGCCCAGCAGTCACAGGAAATGATGTAAACTGGGAAACAGCAAGTACCTGGGGCTAGGGGTGAAACTAACAGCTGATGCTGTTCTTATGTGTTATAAAAAGCTCTCCTTTGAAAACCAGCAAAGGGATGCTTACAGAACACTGTCAGTAACAAGGAGTCAGAGGAGGACCGTAATGAAGTTCTGGCTGAAACGATCACAGCATTTTATTTCTATGCTCTCTGTTTGTCTACTGCTTAGAATTTTAATAGCAATTCAAAGGCCCAAGGAAGGCAGGAGAATCCAGCTAATTCCTGCAGAGACAGCTGATGAGAAAAGCCTCCCTTCTTAATTGAAAGTTTAAGCTCTTGCTTTGCAACTACAGCACTCATTTTCAAGTAATTGAAATACTTTGATCCCAATCAATCTTCAGAGGAACTCTCCCACATGACCCTCCCAATCTTCCAGTGCAGAGCAACTCCACATTTACTTGATCTAGCAGCTGCAGCCCTGTCTGTGGCAGAGGAGTTGAAACTTGATGATCTTTGAGGTCTCTTCCAACCAAGCCATGCTATGATTCTGTGAGATGTGCTCGTTTGACCCTGGGTACCAGCTGCAGGATTTCTGAAGGCACTGCTCTGAGGCTGGCTGTCCCTGGAGAGCCCTGGATCACTGGGATGCTGCAGTCGTACATCACCACTCTTAGCCTTTGTTTTGCATTGCAGCTGGAACAGGGCAGGAACCAGCCCTAGCCAATCATTTTGCTTATACAGGTCACCACCAATGGTGTTGAGAAAACCCAGCATTTGGAGAACAAAATCTGCTAAATGTTAGTGCTCCTCTGGGCATCTGATGGGCATGAGGGGAGTCTATACCTACATGGTTCTCATTCAACATACCTAAAACAGGTGGATGCCCCAGCATGTGGAGCAGCAACTGTGCACCTGCCTGCCCAAACTGTAGCTCATGCATGCATAAGGCAGTGCCCACAGACTGTGTGCAGCTCTGCATGGGAAAACATACAGCATGTAGCACAGCATGTAGGATTTCCTTCTGACCAGAAATTCAGGGATGACCTAGTCATAGACATTGTAGAAGAAATAGCTACACTTCTCAGTGTCAAATCAGAACTTTGCTGACTTGAGATTTTAGTGGATTTTTGATAGTCTGACTGAAGAGGGGGCAGCTGTAACAGCTCCTGTTAACCCTTTGTACTTCATTTATGGCCTTGCCATTGTTTTAGATTTAGCTTCAGGTAGCTTTCACATAACACATGGCTACTTAAATAAGTGCTTAGTGATTTATTGCTCTATTTATGCTATCATTTATGTGTACATGGAAAGGCAGACCATAAAATGTAGCATCTGTTGCTGTGGCCAGGAAAGCTCCTATTGGCTAGACCAGAGGCAAGATTTTACCCAGCAGCATTACAGACTCTAGTAACTTAGAGGTGCTGCTTTCCATAACAGGAAAAGTAGGCTGTGGTGGTATTTTTCATATTGGTCATGCCCCAGTAACTCCCACTGTGCTCTTCTTTTGTAATACTGAGCCCTTCTTTGCATGATGATGTTTATTTGCATTCTTTGTATTCTTTGCTTGAAGGGAAACTCTTCTGTGAGCTTTTTTCTTTCTCTCTTTCTTTCTTTCTTTCTCTCTTTTTTTCTTTCTTTCTTTCTTTCTTTTTGGTAAACATTTAATTTCAAGGTTGATTTTCTATATTTCACATCTTCTCAAAGGGGAAAAAATAAACTTGTAATTTCTGACTGAAGAAAAAATGATGCATAGTATTAAGTACCTGACCTGTCCAAAGAGCAAAGATCAATCCTCTCTTTCACCCTAACTGGAAAGTGCATTTGACAAAGCCATGCTGTCACACATATCATCTGCTGGGAAGAGCTGCACAGTTCTCTCACTTGTTATGTTTTAGTCATGGCACCAAGCATAGTTAGAGTCATGGCATATGGCAGATTAGAAGTTGTACATTTCTTCATTTAAAACTAACATGCACCGCGTGTCTACATTGCAGTCCCATGTCCTGTACAATGCTATTCCTGAACATGTATTCCCAAATCCACCCATGGATCTGTGGCTGCCTTGCTGCATGTAAGGATTCAGCACCTGAGGATTTGGCACTGCAAACTCTTCTATAAAAGGGCTACTCCTACAGGACACCCCAAAGCCATAAGTCTGCATTTTCATATGTCACACAACTGCAGACCACAGTCGCTCTGTCTTACGAGCAGAATTGCAGAATGTTTTGTAGCTGGAAACCAAATCAGCAGTGGAAGGGCAGAAATCTCTCTCCTCAGTTGGGCAGTCTTTGCAGTTGAATTGATTTTATTGTTTTCATTTCAACATTGAGAGCTGCTGAGGAAGGGAGAAAATGTAGGCAAATCTTGTGCTCATACTGTTTGTCCTGCAGCAAAAGTTCTGTATGCATTTTTCGTTTGTCCTTACAAATTTTAAAACCATAATCCTGACCGTCTTTTGGGAGTGAGGGAGAGGGATTATTTTGTAGCTATAGCATCTTAGAAATGTAGCAACAGAAACATCTGTCATAATGAAAAGCAGTAACTTCAGCTAGTAGCGGGCTATGCAAGTGGAGCAGCACGCTTGTTTTTCCAAAGTTAAGCCCTGTAACAGTGCTCAGTTCAGACAGAAAGCAGGAATCCTTCTAGATTGGTACGGGAGTTGCAGAAACACAGAATCTTTTTCACAGCTGATCTTGAGGGGCTGCCCAGGGAGGTGGTGGAGTCACTGTGCCTGGAGAAACGTTCAAGAAATGTTTAGATGTTGTCCTGAGGGACATGGTTAGTGTAAAAATACTGGTGAACAGTTGGACTGGACGATCCTGGAAGTCTTTTCCAACCTTGGTGATTCTATGATTCTGTGCTTTTCTCCCCTTGAGTGTTTGGGTGTCTTCTCAAGAAGTAGAAATTCTTGTTCTTGCTGTGCACTGAGGAGATTAGGATGGTATCACAAGGGGAGGGAGCTGTGTTTTCCTAAAAGGTGAATTATTTAAGGAGGGGGAGAAGGAACAGCCAGCAACTGTTTGGGGGAGATGTTTTCCAGGGGAAGGAGAAAATGCACAGTATCACTGCTGAGACCAATTGCACTGAAAAACTTTAAGAAAAGAGATAATTGTGAGGGTATCCAACGTCTGGAGCAGGAAAATGTGCTCACCGAGGGTGAAGTGGCAGAGATCAGCGTTCAGATTGAAACTTCTATTCTAGGGAAAGAATGGGGTGTTTTTTTTCTAATAATCCAATGAAATGTTCATTTAACAGAGAAGAAAAATGTAAATGTAGGAAACCTTTCCGCACCCGGGCTGAGAAATCCCTCAGAGGCACCAGTGCCCTGAATAGATCCTGCTGCAGGCAGGTAATGACTTGCAGCTCCCCGCTGCAAACAAAGCACTCCGCACCGCTGCGTGACAGCTGCAGGCGCGCCGTGCCTGAGAGATGGCACAGTTATTCTGAGTGCGGCCGACAGGAGTTTATCTGAGGATAAAAGAGGGAGGGATTCCCTCCGCAAGGTCAGTGTGGGAGAGGGATGGGCTGAGCAGCTGTCCGTGCTCACCAGCCTTAATCCAGGCTGTTCTGGGCAGCTCCAGCGCAGGGCAGGTTGGGCTGGATGCCGCCGAGGCCATCTAGGAAGTAATTCGCTGTTTTGCTGATATCGTTTGTTGTTGTTGTTTTGCTTTCTTTTTTATTTGTATGGAAAACAAGTGCTCAGGGAGTTCCTGAAGGGAGGTCACGCTGTTCCTCCCATGGGGTGCACTCCCAGCAGCACTGTGCTGCTGACCTCGGGGCTCCTGGCACTGCACCGAATGCCCCGATAGTCCATAAATTCAGACGGTCACCAGAGATAATGTTATGTGCTTGCAGAAGAATGGGCCTTTGTCCGAGTGAGCCGATCACTGACTTTGCTGGGAGGGGGAGGGAGCTGTCTTCCTTTCTGTGTATTTCTATTCAGCTGCTGCAGAAACATCCCCATCTGCTTTGAATCTACACTTTAATTTCAAATCCTAGCAAGAAATGAAGCAAGCCAGCTTGCTATGCCTGGCAGAGGACGCACATGGCGAGTTGCTGAACCCAAAGCTGTTCCAAATGCCAGGAATGTTGCAGACTTTAATGCTAAGTTACCTGGCTTTGTGCTCTGCTCAGTCATACAGTGGGAACCATCAGAACCGAGTTCTGTTGGTCTGTTCTTTAAGTGCTGCCAGTAGCTCAGCAATACGTGCTTTCTTTGTTGTCTTCTCTGCTAGGACAATGTGGTTTCAGGATGTGACACAGTGGGAAAAAAAAACAACAAACCCGTGTCATTTCTCTGGAGAAAGCAGGCAATGGGCATTTCCTGCTCTCACGCACAATTAATGGGATAGACAAGACAGAGAGCACAAATTAAGTTGTTAATTAGCCTTATTTATACAGCAGTAGCGTGAATTCATGTGGTCTGACATGGTTTTTGCGACTAAGAGTAGAATCTTGCATGCCTGGATGCATATATATGCATATACAGAAATGCCTAAGCACTTGTTTGTGCTGTATGATCTGCGCAGTCCGAGTTCTTGTTTGCCTCTCTCAGAGAAGGAAATTTTATCCCTAACTGTCAACAGGTGTCAGAAACAGAAGCAGCTGGAGCCAGAGCTGTACAAGATTCCTGTTCTGATCTGATAACTTGCAAATAAACCACATGCAACCCAGGAAAGGCTGATGTTGGTGCAGACCCTTGGCTTGCTTCTGTCCTGTTCTGTGGGCTGTAGCCAGGGGATAGCGAGCGATACACAGGCTATCTCACAGGCTGATAAGAAGCAGAGCTGCCTCTTAAATAGCTCGTAGCTGAAAGGAATCATAGAAATGTGAGTTATTTGCATCACATCCCAGAGAGAGTATAATTTAAGGGAATTTTTTTGTGATGGAAAGAAAATGGACAAGTGAAACTGTTGAAGCAAACCTAAGCTGCTAGCTGTGAGAAAAGACAGAAAAGGAGAAGAGGGTTTACTGTGAGCTGAAAAGAATTGAAAGATGCCCATTCAAACGCTTCATCTGCCTGCTAATTTTAATTAAGAGTCCTCCTTTGTAACTACGGCACAGAGCCTGAGTCTTTAAAAAAAAAAAAAGAGTTGTCACTAGGCAGATTTCTGTGAGCCTGCTGATTGAATCATCATTTTAATCTCCTCGCCGCCTCCCCCCCCGGCCCCCAGCAGAAGCTACCGGGCGCCTTACACGACAATTAGCGTGCTGGGAAATGCTGCCGCGCTCCTCGGGGAGTTCCTGCGGTGCACAGCTCCGGATTGCTGCCTGACTAAAAGGCTGAAACCTGCCAGTGTTAAACCATCCCGTGCTCTTTGAAGCCTGGATGCGGATCTGTTTTTCAGCAGGAAAAAGTATTCCCCCTCAACTCTTTATTATTTTATTGTAGAGGAAAAACTATTCCTTTCTCCCAGTTCCTCCCATTTGCCCCCTCCTTCAAAAATAACCCACTGGACTTCGGGGAACTTGCCACATGCAGTGGGCTTTGCAAAGAAAAAACAGAGAGTGACAGAAAATGCTTTTGTGTGCATTTTCGTGGTGCTCTGGCACCTTCCTGGATCCTTCCTTGCCCTACTGGCTCTTGCCCATGAGCACGGCGCTAGAAGCAGCTCTGTGCCCAGCAGAGTCCCAGCTGGGGTTACTGAACTGGTGGTCACTGTTTCCAGTCAGACAGCACCCACTGGCCCAATCCCCTCTCCCAGCAAAGCCAAAGGAGCAGGCAGCAAACAACAGTAAACAAATCCCCCCTCTGCCTTCTCCCCCTGCCACGGCTGAAAGCTGCAGCTCCAGCCAAGGTCTGCCCACGGGGCTGTGCTAATTGAGATGCTGTTTGGCAGCAGTCTGCGTCCTTGCACAAATGCTCACAAAATGACTAATTAAAAACAAGTCTCTTGCCCCGCTTCCTTCCTTCAGCAAGTTAACTTAGGCACGTTTTTCCTTTCATTATTTTATGGACAACAATAAAGAACACGCTAAGGAAAGAGTGCTTCAGGAGCAGTTCTGTCTGACAAAATACCAGCGAGGCTGTCCTGTTCTTCCCCCACACCCCAATGGCAGCCCGCTGTGCTAGGAAGATGGAAACCAGAGGAAGTCGTGAAAGGGGAAAGGTGGGCTGGTCCCAACAGCTTGGAATTATAGCACAAAAGGAAGAAATATGCTCAAGGAAGAAGCCCTGCTTCTGTTGCCCTGAAGTCCTCTGGACACTCAGTGTGCGGGTAAAGAGCAGCTGAGCGAGCTGAGGGCGGCACGGAGCTGGGTCTGTGCTGGGGAACCCCTCGGTCCAGCTGCCCAGCTGTGCGACTGTGATCCGCAGCCTCCGCAAGCAGCAGCCTGGTGCCAGGCCGGCACAGCGCCTCATTACATCATGGGCGACTGCGGCGTAAGCGTGGAAACATGCAAGGAATGGGAGTAGCGTCAATTCAGGAAGACTAAGCGGGTTGTGTAATGGGGAAAACCAGCTAATGCAGGAGGAGAAAGCAACAACGAGGTGACGGCTCAACTGGCAGCAGAACGATTTCCACACTGATCTGAGCTCATCAGGCAACAGCTGGATTTTGTTCTTCCTGGCAGCTGCTTGGGAAACCTTAATACAACTCAATAAAGGGCTCAAGAGATGAGCAGATGAAACAGTGTTTAAACACATAGCCATGCAGGTCTTGGGCGTCTTGTGGGGATTTGTAAAAGTGTTTCAGTAGTTAATATAATTAAAAACTTACAAGAATTACAGGAGTAGCTGCTGAACCTCTCAGTGCCCCTGCAGGGACAGTCCTAGGGCCCGGTCCACCAGGAGCCAGGCACGCAGGTTGGGCGGGCAAAGACCAAATACTAACAGGCAAAGACCCCCTGCTAGGCACTGAGCCCTGACGCACCACCCCGCAGCAGCCAGCTCTCCAACACATCTGGCATGTGGTCAGCTATCCCCTCTGCCACTTGTGGGACTGCTGCTGACCTCCACGAGATCCCAGCAATATGTGGACAGCCACTAAGAGCAGCCTTATAGACTCAGATCGGGCAATAGCAAACACACCTGGAGCTGTGCTGTTGGACCTCCCTCACTATGCAGGGGGACTTCATTTCAGAGTTATAAGAAAAGCAGGGCTCGCATTTCCTGATGTAAAACCATCTCCGTATGCTGGCAGCCAGACCTCAATGCACAAGGACAGAATAACTTGATTACTCACCCGGAAACCTGTCTTGCTCCGAAATGGTTAACTACTTTTTGTTTGGAGTAAGGAGAGGGCAGGGAGTGAAAGGAGCGATCTTCACTTGTTGGGGTTTGATTCATGTAAACTGTTCGGAGCACCTTGACAGGCTTCGGGATATACGGAGCTATATATAGCAATGTGAGTTGCTATATTAGTGAGCGTGACGCTGTGTGCAAGCCAGAATATTCCTAAATGTCTTCAGACATGTGCTTTCCTTCCCTCCTCCAGCTTTGCATAGGTTATTCTAAATCATTTGAGCATTATCTGAAGTCATTTTTCTTCCCTTTTAAGGTAGTTATCTCTGTGTGAATACTATGTCCTCATGTACTATGTGCTCAGAACCTCACAGTTTGTCTCCACTGAATAAATACTTTTATTGTAAATCTCCCATTACATAGGTTATTCTGCAGTGAGCAGGTTATACAAAGACTTGTTACTGGAAGAGAGTAGACGTGCATGAGGGTCAGCATATCAATGCACCGGGAGGCTGATGGCACCTCCAGAACCATTACCTGTCCCCATCCTCAATCTCTTGGAGGGCCTTTATTCCCCAACACTAACCTAAGAAATAAATAACTCTTGCTAGCCTGTGCATTCACAGAAATCGTCTAATTCCTGCTGCTTGTACTCTGAGTTTCAGTACACTGTACTGTGTGTGAACTACTTTTTCTGAGTTTAAATGCAAATGCTGAGTGATTTGGGATGGAATGGTGACCACTCCTACTTCGGGCCCCACAACATTCTCCCTGGGCAGGTTGTTCTTAGGGCAGCAAAGCTCATGGAGCCTGTGGATCCTTTGGGATTTGCTTTTCTATGGTGACTGCAAATTTCAGCAGGAGTTTTTCCCATGGCTGGAACACACACAAGATCTCTCTCCCGTGAGGATTCTCTGGCATTTCATTACATGTGAAGTTATGCATTGGCCATTCCCTCGCTGGGAATGTTTACAGGGCTTTCCTCCTCCACCCGGCTTCCGCTCGTCACAAACAGTAGGAGCACTGATGGCCACACCGCTGAAACCTGGCTGCCTCCGACTCTTTGTGGGGAGTACATATGCATGGTATCATCACTTACTATTCATTTCTTTCATTTTGCTAGTCAAGCAGCTTAACATGTATTCTGCTAGTTCCAGATGGATGTATGGTGGTAGTAGTTCATGACAGCAGGCAGAATGGTCGTTGATGTTCATGGGTGAAAGAAAAGTGTGTAAAAGGGCAGAAAGCTTAACTGCAAGTCAGAGGGAGAAGCTAGAGAGCACTGTCTGTAAGAGCTGTGAGTGGAGAGGAGACAACAGGGAAGCGTAATTCCTATGCAAGCCTGGAAAAGTTTGTTCCATCAACTCCTGGACTCTGTAGGGTGGATAGGGTGGATGGTGTGCTCCTCAGGAGGCAACGGGAGTGGGTTGGTGGGAGATTCTCCCTGTCTGAGGTTTTTGAGACAGGTGAGAAAGTAAGAAGTTACAACCAGCTGTCATGTGGTGCTGGCAGGAAGGCTGTGCTTTGGATTGACAGCTTTCTGGCAGCTGATGGCTTAGGGAGGGTAAATCAGACATGCACCCAGAGCAAAATGCTGCAGAAATAGACAGCGCTGAGAGGTGCTGCAACTGAAAAAAATGCTGGGTTGCCTTGACGCAGGGTTAGCTGTGCAGCTGCACGATGATGATTTTGTGCTGGGCAACAATTTTTCCCACAGAATAACTTCAAACATGTTAAAATGAAAGGCTTGAGAGCCTCTGAACCAAAAAGGCCCGGAAACTGGGAGTATGCTGGGGGAAGTCCTTTCCTAATTTCTAATTTAGGAAGGGAACTATTTTGGAAACAGTTGAAGGTGGCTGCAAAGTTTGGTGACAGGAACTGAAAAAAAGAGGCTTGAGGGATGTGAAGGGAAGATGAGCAGTCACAGGAACAGAACACATGGGGCTGCAAAGAACTGAGCGAGGAAAGTGCTGCTCGTGTCCAGACACAGATGCAGCGCTTGATTAGATTAGAGATATCAAATGTCTGGTCTTCTTTGGCCACGGGGAAGAAAGCAGTGAGATGAAAGGAAGGATCTCTAAGGAGGGCAGGAACAGATGAGCAAGAATGTGCAGTGGGGAAGGTTAGATATGAAAAAAGAGGTTATGAACATAGTGGAAGAAAAAGCTTACGAAAGCAAGTTCTGAAATAAAGCAGTGATGCTTTACAGCTTATAGAAAGTGAACAGAGCAAGCAAGAGGTGAAACAAAGTTTATATAGCCAAGAAAGGAGACTGTGGAGAAGCAAGGCTTTCTGCTTGCTTTCTTTTAATGCCACGTCACAAACAAAAGCATAAGATTTGGCTTTTTGTGGATTACCTATTCTAGACTACTGTGGTGTGACCTAACAGTAACAGTGACAGATGTGACAACGTAAAGGTCTTTGGTGACAACATGGCCAAATACAGGTGACCTGGGAGAAGCGGTTAGGATGATGTCACTCACCTAGCTAATTTCTAATCGCTGGCACAAATTCCCATTTAAAATGATCTAATGGCTTATCCGATACCTTCCCTGTGACCCGTGGAACCGAATCTGTGTCATGGAGTAAGGTCACTATGCTGTCAGCTGGGTGACAAGCTTCGTCTGAGTGTTGACTTGGAATTGCAGACCGTGGGCCGTAGGCCAAGGGATGTCGAGCGTGCCACGGGGGTGACGCGCGGTCCCGGCGGGAGGCTTCCAGCCCATCAGCACGCGGCCGTGCGGCCCCGCGCCAATTCATGGAAAGGCAACAGGCAACGCCGAGGGGAGCGGCCGGCCCGTGTACAGATGGGCCCGGTGCCGCGCAGGCAGCCGCTGGCACTGGTGCAAGAGGGAGGCAGCCTGTTGGCTGTCCGCGCCCAGCTTTCTAAGGAAGCAAGCGGCATGCCGGAGATAGCCTGTTTGCTCTGGCCAGAATGTCTGGTGGTTTTGCAAGAGACAGAGCAGCCGAGGGCAGATGTCGCACTGCTGTAGATGGGGTAGCTCCACTGATTTTAGCAGAGCCGTGCTGATTTACCTCTGTAGAGTTTGGGCTTGAGGCCTGAGCGATGGCAGTAGCGCAACAAGGTTGTTCCATGCCGCACAAGACTATAGTTCCAGATAGTTCTGGCCCAACATAGACATGAACCTGCTACTGCTAAGATACATTTGCACTGGGTTTCCTTGGATTCCTGCGTTGCTTGGAGCAGGTAGCAACCTCGTTGCCGCAGTTCCATTCTTCAAACAATGCTGTGACAACCGCACCACGCGGGGCCTGCCAGGTTCAGGCAAGGACACAGCAAGTGAGCGTCAGCAGCAGAGCTGCAAATGAGGTAATGCATTATCAGCAGGCAGGTCAGGGCTGTGTGTATCAGCTCCTGAAGCAGAGGGACTAAAAATAACTTTCTATTGCAAGTACCCATTTCCCGAAGAAGGAAATGCCCTCGTTTAACACCTCCCTCCCCAAACAAACCAGGAATGACTTACAGCAGTGCCTGCCTCCCTCGATACCCTGGGGGTCTGGCTGGATGGCTGCACCAAGTGCTCTGCATTCCCCTCTGGAGGGTGGCCAGGTGTCAAGAGCAGTATTAAGACCCAAGCAGCACCAGCCACATCCCCATCACCTGACTGCTACCATGGATAGTATTACAGCCACCAGTCCCTCTCTCAGCAGTGTGTCTGCACAAGTTTGGGGCCAAGCTGCCCCTTGTGTCTCCTGAGGCACATGCACATCACCAGACCAGCACCTGGGTGCTGAACAACTTACGTGGCAGCTTCCCACTTGGGTAGGTGCCATGCACAGATAAGCATTTGGCTCCTGGTACCAATCCACACCTGTACACAGAAGCCAGAGAGATCTATGCAAATAATAGTTCTGCTGTGTGTATTAAAAAAAAGAAAAAAAAAAGCACTTTTGCACTTTTTGCTTATAGTGTGGCCTAGGAGGTTTACTTTAGATAAAATGCAGTGGATGTTCTAAACAGTTATGTATGAGGAAGTATACAGGACAGCACACTGGTGTGAAGGAATGCCTGCTGGAGCTCTGGAGCTTGACTTGAGCAGAGGGGAGAACTGCACAGGGCCCTGTTTTTCAAGAGCAGTGGCAAAAAAATATGTTCAGCTTGGGTTCTCACATTTATGCATCTTCACAAAAAAGTTTGTTCACCTGATTTCTTTTGGCATCACATTTCACTACCTTGCACGTGATGCTTTTATTACTGACCAATTTCTTATTCCCTGTCTCCTTCTAATTATTACCTTGCTAGATGTTGAAGTCACAGAGTATGCTAATTCTGTCTAATTAGAGTGGCAGATTTACAGCTCTGCTACTACAGGCCAATATAATCTCCTGAAGACACCGAGAACCCTCAGGAGAGCAGAAAAGTTTGCAGTAAGCAAATACATACACACAACCTCAAATGAAGCAAAAGATTTTTTAAAAGACATTAACTAACAGATGTACAAGAAACAAGCTTTCCTGAAACAAATAATCCATGGCCCATGTCCTAGTGACCCAAACTACAGGTGTTTTATTAACACATATAAGAAAGAAGCTGAAACAGCCATTGGGACAGGCAGGCTGAAACTCCTCTGTATTTGCACATTTGCATTAGTTGACTCAGGACTGGGTTGGGTTTTGTTTCTGCCTAGCTACAAAAAGTGCACTGAGGATAAAAAGGACAATTAAGCACCACTGCTGAGCATGTCTCTTTTTCCCATGCTGCACACCCTGGCAACAAATCAATTTTGTCTTTCGCTGTGAGACTTTCTCCCTCGCTGCCTGCTTGGAATTACTCTCCCACAATCCTCCCAAGCAACTTTTTTTCCCTCTGCAGTTTCTTCCTGCCAGTTGCCACTTTAGTAAATAGCACAGAAAAAGCAATAACTTTATTTTTTCCATTCCCTCTAAAGGTTAAATATAGGTGAACGTTTTATTCTTTATAACAAGTAATTGACATGCATGAGCCAACTTTCTGTTCAGAACATAATTTGTATTCTCAAGAGATCTGTGCGTATTCTTGTTCATATTGCTTCTCCCCTGAAGGGATCTGGGAGGGGGAGGAGAGGGAGAGGCTTTTAAAGTTTGGCTCACAGAAGTTATAGAGAAAGATCTAGGCTTTCAGCTCCATCAGATAAACAGTAATGTAACTGCACGTACAGTACTGTGGCACGTATTGATAGGAAAAGAACAGAGTAAATAAGGGGAAGGGAAGGGGGAAGGGAAGTCAGCAAGCAGAGAAAAAGAGATTATCGCTCAGCACCCAAGGCAGCTTGCTGCTAGAACAGAAATCGCCAGAAACATTGATCCAGAAATTTGGTGGGCTTGCTTTCCTCACTGCAGGTATAATTCAGGTGGGATTGTAAAGGAAGCTTTCCAATTAAGTCATATCTGTATGCTTAGGTAGCTCTTGTTTAATCAAACTTAATGATTTGACTCCAAGATCACTGAAACCAGATCTACTTCGTTCACTCCTGTGGGTTTACAATTAAGTCACTGCTTTTAGGGAGTGTGGTGGGGGTGCTTAAGGAGTGTGCTCTTTTTTTTCTTTTGGGTTTGGTTTTTTTTTTTTTTGGTATGATTCAAGAGACTTCTAATGTGGTTACATCTTCTTGTGAGAAGGTTTTTTTGGAGTTTATGTACAAAAAGAGTGTGAGCATGTACACGGTGCCTGCAATGTAGGACAGTGGCAGTAGGCTGCGGTCCCTTGGTTGGGTCAGGGGTGTGGTGGTGCAGCCACACAGCCCCCCCTACTCCACCAGCTGCCCGCTGCCACCTTGGACCTTTCATTTCACCCCTGCAGGGTGAAGCTTTGTTTAAGAGGACAGAGCTCCAGCCCCATTGCATATGGGTTTTTCAAGATTAGACAAAGTGATGAACTGCGTTAGCAGTCAATGTGAAATCGTGTCAAGGAGTCAATATTCACACTTTCACTACAAGGGCAGGTCCTGTCTATCAGAAGTAGCATTCAAAGCTTGCAGCATTCAAATACGTGGTTTCAGAAGAGTCAGTGGTGTATTTCTATGTGAGAAAATGTAATTTACGGACAGAGCTGACACAGGATTATATACCAGTAGCACATTATCATGGCAACTTCAAGGAACTTAGTGGATGAATGGTCTTCATGCTCCTGAGGTTACAGCCCCCTCACGTTGCCCCTTACTTTGGCTGCCCACTACACCCGTGCGTAGGCATGCTTGACACACAGATGCCACTTATCTAGTAGAAAAATTGTTCTAAATACCAGCAGCTTACCCAGACACAGGCACCTCTCTGGTAGAGTGAAGCTGAAAGAGTACCACGAGTTTATTCTTTCCACTCAAACTTTATTTCAGACAGGTGTGCAAAGGGAACATAGCAGAGAGATTTAAATAGAAGCTTAAGCAGACTGTAAATTTCCATCTACGCTAGGTCTAATTAAAGCGATGAACGCACTCGAGACTGAGAATTTTGTTTAGAGTAATCCCCTTATCAAAATTGTCATGTGCCAGGAAATGTTAGAAGCAGAGTTTCTCATTCCCCATGTTCTTGAACTGCCGTGTCTGCCATTTAAATGCCACCACTTCTCAACAGCTTTCAGCTCAGCCCACAGAGGTTTCCCACAGCAGCTACTGGCTGAGTGACGAGCCCCTTACTCATACAGGGGATGAGCTCATCCCACAAACAGCTCTGCTGACTGCGATGGGATCACGTTTAGTTATGACTGCACCAACGTCAAATGTTTCCAGCTCCGTAGCACTCATGCAGAACGTTTTGAGATAATCAGCACACTGGTGCTCCCAGGGGTTACAGTCATTGGATTTTTTGCTCCTTCTGTGAGGGTGAGTGATAAGCCCATACACAGCAGACAAGTGGCAATGTGTCACAACTGCAAGCCATGCTTAGTCTGATTTTTTTTGTTGTTGTTACCTTTCTACACAGAGCTCTGTGCCTCTTCTGTCTCTTGTATTTACCACAAAAGCAGTATTTGAAGCTCAAAGGTGCAAGGATTTTCTCCACAGTACATTGTCTCACTCAGTCAGGTCCTGAGTTTTGCACCTCCATCATGTACTTGCATTTACAACTAATTAACAGATTATGCAGGACAATTATTATTCATCTGCTGTTTATGTACTGCAGGAATGTCTTCAGGTCTCAGCTGTGCAAGGGGCTCTGAAACAACACATGATGTGCTTTTGATTCCCCTTACTGTTATCTGTTCCTTCTCAGAAGGCTACACTGTGAGCTTCTTACACAGACACAGCTCAAACCACATGTGATCGCCCTGCAGTCAATGGTACTGTATGTGAGATCAACTCATCACTGTGGAAAAATTGCTCCTGATCAGGTTTACAGTTAAGGGAGAGAAAAAGACAAGAAGCTTTTCAGAGCAGGAACTGCAATCCTACCCAGGGCAGCAGCCACGGGATCTGGCAGCAGGTGCTCCAGGATGGGGGAAGCCCTCCTGAGGCCACTGATGCTATATCCACGTGGAGCCACTGGGTCACCCGCTCCCCTCGTGGTCCTCCTCCCAGTGTCCTAGGGAATGGTTTCCCTGCCAGCATTTGGCTGCCTGCTATGAAACTTTCTTTTTTGAGAACTGCTATGTAATAACCTAAAATAGCATGCCTCATCCATCCTGAATGCAGCTGGGCAGAGTTCCTTCATAATATCTGTCATGCCTAAAAATATTCCTGTTATGAAAATAGAGGCAGAGATACTATGTCTGTTATTGTGCTCTGTTGCTGTGTTTAGTGTAAGTGCATGTGGATCAGGTCTGAGGTTGAGCTGCCTCATCCATGGAGCATGAATGTTGTACTGAAGAATTACCTAAGGGCTTGATATCAGACTACTTGTCCGTAGCCCTACTGCTGCACTATCGGTGATCCCAAACCAAAGCAGAGGATATGAAAAGCAGGGCAGGAAACACCCCTCCAGATTCTCAACTTGTTCAGCCTTCCCTGCAAAGCAGTGCTATTCAATGGAAGACAGCAGAGGGGGAGAGAGTAAAACACAACCAAGCCCTGTGAGGGGGGGTGAAGAGTAACATTTGAACATTGCCAAGGAAGGACGTTAAAGGAGGGCACAAAGTAGGCAAGGTGCACTTCGGCTATGTGTAGAGGATGATGTTGGTGAGGACTGTGGTAACAAAGTAGAAAAGTGGGAGGTATTTTAGATCATATGTGGTTTTCCTCCTCCTAAAGTTTTAAGTCACAGGAAAAGCCCATAGAGGAATCAGATATGACCATAGAAAAACAGGCACTGATTAAGTCTCAGGATAGAGGAAAACCCCATTACTGGAGTGTTTATCACAGCTTTTTTCTTTTTCTTCCTTTTTCTTTCTTCCTTTCTTGCTTCCCCATCCTTCCTTTCACCCAGATTAGGTGAAGTTAGAGAAGATGCTTTAAAGTGCAGAGGGAAGCAAAAACCACACAAGCACAAACATCTGCTGAGTTTAGGAGAACAGAAAGAAACAAGAGAAAGGATGAAGCAAAGAAAATAACCAAGCTGTCTCCAGTTCCCTCTGAACCTAGTCCAGGTCAGCACCATTGCTGGCTATACCACAAGACTTGCAATCCAACAGGATGCCAGATTTTATGAAAGGATGGCTATTTCTCACAAGTGCTATCTTTACATCAGATTACAATGTTTCCATGGTATTTTTACTTTTTTTTTTTTTTTTTTTTCATGACAGCTTTGCAACTTTCCTTGCTTCATGGTTCTACAACCATTATCTCTGTGCATGCACTCAACTTCTGAAAACTACTTCTTAACTCCCTGGAGGGAAAGCCACGATCACATGAGGCAACACACTTTCCTGTCCACTTCTGTCTGAAGAAGCAGTATCCCTTCCCAAAGACTGCCATTTTTCCTCCTAAATATCCCGATCTAGTGAAAATTCATAGCTATATATGCAATCAACATTTTAAAAAAGATTTCTAAAGTCCGTATCACAGCCTATAAGATTCTTCAGCGCACGCAGAGGAATTTAGGTACTTTCAGGTTAGAACAGTTTTGGCAGAATAAAGAAAACCAGAAGCAGCAATGAAGAAACAAAATCCTGAAAGTACAGGATGTGTCCTTCTCTGTTTAAGGCTGCAACATTGTTGGTAGGCAAGATTAGATATGCAAAGATGAAGTAAACAAAAAGCATAAGGACTGCAAAGTAAATATTTGGGTGTTTTGGCAAACTGTTTGTGGGTGTTTTGTGCTTCTAAATTTGTTTGTGTTAATGTCTGTATCCAATTCACCTTCCAAAGGAGAGATAACTGCAATGATCTATCTCCTGCCCACAGTCCTCCCCCCATCAATATTTTTGCTTATCTCTCTTCTCATGTTTCTTGTTGTTTCAAACAGCTCTTTAGCAAGCCACAAAAATGTCAGCTATCCAGCTAACTCTAAGAGGAACCCAGCTGAAGTAAATACTCCACACAGGCATACTGTCTTCCTTTTCCATTTCTTGGTTAGTCCTCTTTGGGCCTGCTACATGGAGATTGAGAGCCTTTAAACTGTTCAGTGAGACCACGCGCTACAGAAACTATTGCTTTCCCAGCACTGTGTTTCTATAGCAACCGCCTTATTAAAGCACTGCAGCCATCTGCTTTAAATATTAACTTCACAAGACCATCAGGACTAGCTTAAAACAATATCACATGTTCATTAAACATTAAAACAAGAAACAAAAGGAGAAAATGACAGGAGAGAGCTTTTTCCTGTTCCTTCTATCTAATCTTTGGAAAAAAACACAACACTGGTTTGCTTGCTTTAGATAATTTAACAGTTCGTGCCACTGCTTTAGAAATAACTGTTTAAGTGACCGCACTAGCTGCTGGTGGCATAAACTACAACTTTCTGGGTGCTGCAAAAACAAACAACTGAAGAAAACAGCTTCTTGGGGTAGGTGGTCGCTTTGAGCATGCTCACCCTAATAACAGAGTTTCTTTGCCCTGCTTTGGCAGCAGTAACTCTCCCAGGCGCTGTGGCGAAGTCTTTAGAGGAAGGAGCAGAGAGGAGAATAGCCAGCAGCAGCTGAGAAGCACCACATTGGAGGAAGCGCTGTTTTATTGTTGTCTCTAAAGGACAGATGCTTGGAGGAAGGTACGAATGGTAAAGGGTTCTATCACCTGCAGCTCGCAGCTCCCAAAGCGTGCCTAGGAGTGAGAGCCTGGATGCTGCCCTAATTCATCAAAATGCCTGCCACTTCAGAGGAACCTGCATCAGCAACAGCAAGGTCCTTGGATTGCGCACACCAGATCATACTTGCTTCCTTTTAGCAGTTTGAAAAATGTCAGTTTTTACTTCTCCAAATATCTCTTCCTTCAAACTGTAACAGCACAGCTGAAGGGAAAGCTCTGCTTGCTCTCTTGCTGCTAGTGCATGGCACCCAGAGTTCACCCTCATGTTATTTTTGCTGGGCTCCACTTGCTCCTCCCTAGTTCCCTGCTGCCCATGTTGAGGCCCACACCCAGAGCAGGCTCTTGTAATCAAAGCAGTGATGCATGAGAATGTGCAGAATGTGCCAGTTTCATCTGAAAGTTTCACTGGACCAAAAAGAGGAGAATTCAGATCTTTCCATTGCAAAACCACAGACCTCTGGCACTTGAGCAAAAGAAAAAAGTCTTTTCTAGTGCTCAGGTTCTCCAAAATATACTTCTATCTCCATTCAGTATAGCATAATGAAACCATACGTCACATTATGATTAAGAACCATCAGCTTCATGTAAAACCATCTGTTTACTGACCTCTCTTTACTGGTGCCTTGTAGTGCAAGTACCTACACTCAGCTGCTCTCAGTACTACCTAGATCATAGAATCACAGAATAGTCCAATTTGGAAGGGATTCATAAATATAATCGAGTCCAACTCCAGTTCCCAACTAAGAATAAACAATATGAACAAGTAAAGCTGTCACTGGAAGGATTTGGTCTTAATGAGAGAATTCAGGGGAGGAGGTTTGGTCTTAAGTAATATATCCATCAAGACAATCTATCAGTCTGTGGCAAAGATACAATGCCCATGAAGGTGTTTGATGTCACAGGGACTCAAGGAGAAAGATAAAAGGGGTAGGAATGACACTGAAGTAAGGCTATGGGTATGGCATAAACTGAACTGAAAAGGATGAGAAAAAGAGGCTGCTGAAAGACAAGAGTGCACCTGACCACCTAATGCCTGATAGAGGCTGGGACCCTCTTAGAGCAGTGTAACAAAACAACCCATTGGTTTGGCTTCCAGCTTATACAGTCTTACCCCTTTATCATGAGTCTTATCACTGGCCCACTTCTTGATTTTAAGTCCACAGAAGGGAGTTAGATAGTCTTCTGTGAGAGAGCTCTTTGCTATGCATGAAATAGCAGCAATGAAGGTACAATGAAGACATGGTCTTCGCTCAAGAAATGTACAGCCTAGTGAGTCAACAGACCCCAACAAAAGTGCAAATGGCACATTTTGCAATTCATCCTGTCTTCATTTCCTCCTACTCGATGACAGAGTTTATCTGCTGTCACAAGGTAATCTCTTTTCTGAAGTTCTGGGGTTTCATGTGTTGTTAATTCAAGGGCAGTATCTCAAGAGGCAGGAACAGTGGTGAGTGCAGACACTGAGTCAGAAACTGCCTGGGTAGGTGTTCTGGGAGTTACAGTGGATATCAAGCTGGACAGCTGATGTCAAAGACTTCTGAGAAAAAAGACAATTTTTGTCCAGGCTACGGTCCCATTTCTGCACCCTTGTCAGGCATAAAGTTACTTGTCTTCTCAGCCTTGGCACAGCCTCAGCTGGAATGTTGTATCTGTTCAGAAAGAAGAAAGTTGATCAAAAAGAGGAGACTTGGAATAATATAGGATTTCTGCTAGCAGAGGTCTTCAAGACAAAACTGTCCAAGTATTTATCAAGAGCAAGAGACTTACAATTCATCTGGCTTGGGAAAGGAGAAGGATGAAATGGCCTTTTCCTTGGCTATTTCACACGCCTTTTGGGAGGTTTTGTTGTTGTTGTTGTTTGTAAGCAGTTCTGGAAAGCATTTTGTGCCTGTGGTTTGTGCTGAGCAGATACTCTGCAGGTTTGTTGATGTTCCTACCTTGCCTTCAAATGCTACAGGCAGTTGTTAACATAACTTAATGTATTAGCCAACAGGTGCCCTGTGTATTCTCCTCTGCATGTGCAAAAATAATAAGCTGTTGGTCTGCTAAGGAACTCTGTTCTGCTGAGAAAACAACTAGTAAAGGAAACAGAGGGTAAATGTGGTCCCTTTCTGCCCTCCTGGGTCAAGGAGTCCTCCCTCTGCTCCATCTGGTGCTGCAAATGTTGATAGAGCAATTCAGATCCCATTCAAAATTCCCAGCTCTCATCCAATTAAGAGATATTAGTGGAAAACCCCTGCGGTAAATACCACAGGTGTTCTTTCATCTCTTTTCCGTATTCTCTTGGTTTTTGGTAGATTGGCTTTGCTGGTGGTAGGGAAGAGGAGCTTGGCAGAAAGTTATAATATGGTCAAGAATCTCTCATACACACCCATGGCAGAGAAAGCTGTGGCTTGTAGTAGTCGTTTGTTTCACTGAGGAATTCTTTTCCCATAACTACAGACTGACTGATTATTGATCAGTGAATGCTCTACATATAAGAAAAATTACATCCTGAGACTGTTCCCTGGCAGCTGGGCAAAACTCTTTACTAGGAATTGCACCTATGCATCTGAAGGCATAATTAAATTTTAGGTGTGCCTTTTGCTGAACTTGTTAAACAAGATTTCCATTACTTTTTTACCTAGAGGACAGACTCATGACAGAGTCTGTATTTATTTTGAGATACTCATCTAAACTGACACAATAGTGGTTACTCACCCTGTAGCATACAATGGCAAATCTTACAGTATTCTTTTACCCCCTGCCTCCAACTTGAAAGTACTGAATAAAATAATATTCATCATAAGCAGCATTTCTTTCATTACATTTTCTTCATTGGAAGAGGGTCTTATAATTTAAGAAAATATTAGCAGCAACAGCAAGAAGGCTCTGTGAGTCAAAGATGCGCTAGATGCATCATTTGTGTATAGCTCTCCCCCTGGTGATATCAGATGTTCTGAGAAAGCCCACAGCCCCATCATAAATACTAATAAACTAGTCCTAGTAAACCTCGATGCTTTCTGATTCAGAACATCTTGAAAAATGCTTCAGGACTTCTGGAGAAAGACTCCAGAAGATGTACTATGATGTACCCAGAAAAAAACTATACATATTTAGAGGTTTTACAGTAAGACTGTTGGGTCTTCTTTCTCTGAGACTGCCCATACTCATACAGATTCATTGTAAGGTGGATTTTTTTTCCTCAGGCAGAAAATATGCAACAGAGAACTCTTAAAATAGTAACATGGCAGTGACCTGTTTTTAGTACTTCCATGCTTATTTCTAGATCCATTGTACACGCTGTAATGAACATCATAATGAACATTCAGAAGTTTAGCAGAGAAAAGCCATCAATAACTGGCAGAAATGCATTTGCTCACATGCTGAATGCAACATTCAGCTAGCTAGGAGATGGGAAAAAACAAGTGCTGAGCCAGGGCCAGAGCTGTAGAGCACTTCACCTGCACTGGTGAGAGCTACTGGAGTGCATGAAAGGAGCTAGTGACCAGCCCAGAGCAGGCATGCTTTGGCCTCTTTGCTTAATGTTGTCTAAATAACAAAAAATATCTGCAGTGGCTTTGATGACTAATGCAGAACTGCTATGGGTATGGATGGAAAAGGTGAAGACTCTGGGCTGGCTTTCTACTTGCAGAAGTTGCATTCAGTAACGGGATTGAAGCATATTGGAAAAGAGCACCAGGAAGCTCATAGTGTGTCTTTCCTAAGGGCTCTGCCATTACGATATTTACAAACACCAAGATGTATCATAGTAACAAGTATAAAATAGAACTATGATCTTTCTACTATCTTGTCTACCTCAGAAAGGTCAACCATTCTGTCTGGGAAGAAAAAAACCAAACAACCCTTCAGCATTTAGTAGGCTTTTGTAAAGCTGGGAGTAAGTTGTTTGATTCCAAAAGTAAAAATTGGAAGTGATTTATTAATAAACATGGGTTATTTTTGCTAGTTTAGCAGCTTTTTTAAGAAAGCTGTGTTTATCTTTGACAACTAGTCACTGTTGTATAGCCTGTCTTCCTCCACATACATGTTTTTCTGAGAGAACTTCAAGAGCACTGGAGCCTGTCAACAACAAATGGTCTGATTACGTACTTCCATTTTACAATAAATTGCTAACTTCTAGAAAAGAAACTGTTTTCAAGTAATTGGGAGTATAATACAAACTTCTTTGAAGAACTTCAAGGATAAGGAAAAGACAAATAGATTTTATTTTTTAATAAACACTTAATATATCCAGCAGTGCTTAAGAAAGTACATATGGAAAAGAAATGTGGACATCTGGCAATTGAGTGTAATGCCTGGTTTGCTAGAGGGACATTTCAGCTATGCATTTCTCTTTCAAGGCCTGTGCCAAAAATCAAGTCAGCCTTGCAGTGGCATTTACATTTTGTAGAAAGTGTGTCACTGGAAACTACTAAGCCACCTTTTTCCTAAACAGACCATCAATTCCCAACTGCAAAGCATTCGTTAGCGCCAGAGTGCAAGTGTTAATAAAGGAATAAAAGTGGAACTGTCAATAAGGAACCACACGTTCGAGCAGTGTTCTTTTATTTTAGCCAAAGTAAGCCAGTTTTGCACTTCCTTACCACTGAAATTACTTTCTGAGTCAGTTCGGCAAAGAAACAAACTTACGGTGCCGAAGAACACAGTTGCTTCTATCCTCAAGTCTCTGAATCACTTGCTTGCTCCTGCTAGCTAATAGTAACTATTTTTAGTTTATGGCGGAAACTTCTCTCATGGTGGCAATGATATTTCAAAACAATTTGGAAGCAAAATCGTCTGTGTGTGTGGCGTTGCGCAGAGGCTGCGCTCGGTGCACACGCCTTGCTGCTCGCTGCTGGCGCCAGCAGGCCGGGTCAGCCTCACGCAGGCCATGCGGCATTTGCTGGCTCTTTCCTCACTGCCCGTAAGACTTCTGGGGTCATGTTTGTAAACACTGGAACCACGTGCGTAAGCACGTGGTGAAGCATCAAAACCGGCCAGGGCGCCAGGCAGAGAGGCAAACCTTGGCGCCGGATCGATGTCGCTGAGCCGGCTTGCGCCAACTCTCTTGCGCCAACTCTCTGACCGGCACGCTGCCCTCACGGCCACGTGGGATGGGCTGGCGGGTTGGCAGGAGGGCACAGCGGGAACCTTCTCCCTGTGTGTGGCACAGGTGGGCCCGTGCTAGCGTTGGTGGTGTCAAGGCACGTTCCTTTGCTCGGCGGTGAGCAAATGGCAGGGCTTTGAAACATTCTCACGGCAAACAAAACTCATTTCTGCCCTCAGTGAAACTGAGGGACCGGCGTAGTCCCTCAACACAATGCAAAACTATGGCTGTTAGGGAAGAGAATTGTATAGGGGCACGTTGCCAATGTTTCTGAAATGACTTCAAGGACAGATAACCGAGACGTCGTGTCTGTAATAGCTTTTTGCTGGCTTTGCACCAATGAAACTAAGACCGTGTTTCAGACATTTGGGGAAGTAACTCCTAAATTATTCCTGTTTATCAGCAGAGGTTGCACAAAGCCAGATATGGCCAGCACAAACAAAAGTCATGAGTCTTTCATTTCCTCTTCAGGAGAAATTAGCAGATACGGCTCCCAAAGCCTATGGAAAGTTTCATCTCACCCTGGCCGCACACTTCACGTGCTTGGAGTAGAACCAGGCAGGAGGGGGAACAGCCCGTGGCAGATGTCCCTCCCTCCTCTACCATTCTGTTTCAAGTGCAGCTGTAAGTCTTGTTTGCTTTGACCTTTGCTGGGAGAGCTGAGAATAGGACAAAGAGTTAAAGTGTTACCAGTCCCTGCTGAGTTTGCACTTCTCAGGCCGGCAAGCCAGCGGCGGCTGTGAGCGGGCAAGCGTGCAGCACGGCAGAGGGGGCCGGGAGGGAGCGAAACAAAAGGGGAAGAACAAATAGTGCACACCCTGAAACACAACAGGGGAACCGGTGTGGAAAAATGTCTGTCTTTGAAGAGAACAGGCTTTTCTGTTTGTTTCTCTCTGTGTGTTCTATCTGGTTATCTGAACTCAAGGTACAGTAGATACATGAGTCCTTGAACTCCGAACTCATGAGGAGAGAGGCAAAAAGTAAGTCAATACATTTCAGCTGAGCCTGGAAATAAGCATGCTTTGTCTCCGTGTGACCCAGCTATGGGAGGCCATTTAATACCACAACGCACAGCTGTCCAAACCTCTTTCTTGCTGAATGCCATTGGCCTGCAAAAACAAAGCAAAACCAAGCAGTCCTCTCCTAAGGATACTGCAACTGTAGGTTCAAACACCAGCTGCTCCAAGCACCTTGCATTTTGTCAAGACCTGTCCCTTCAGTCTGGAGGGAAAGGGGTCCCAGGCTCGTTAAGGGGAAAAAGAAAAGGCACCCATTCATTTCCTTTCTGAAACTCTGCCCTACTGTAAGCGTTACCCAATTCCTGAGCAATGTCTCTGGAAAGCAGAAAAGTACCTTCCTCGCTGTTGCATGTGCGTCTAGCTAGCGCTCTCCAGCGCTACTACTCTATCGAGCAATAAAGTTTCTATTTTTGACTCACTGTGGACAACCTTGCTCTAAAGCGTCGGACTGCACGTTGCCTAAACGTAGAACGAGCAAACCCAGAGGCACCAGTGGCCTCCGTCAGAGCTGCATCTTGCTGTGACTGGTGCAGGCGAGAAATGGGCTGGCACACGGTGCGCCGCGGCAGTGAGGCCCAGCCGTGTGGCACCCTCCAGCATGTCACAGTGTTTGTAAACACCGCCACCACGTGCGTGAGCCACGTGGGACCCGGCTGCCAAACCTCAAAACTGCCTGAGGATGAGAGAGAACTGGGAGGAGTGAGCAGGCAACCCCCTGTGCTACCTCCCCATCTTTCTGTGGGGCGGCGTGCCGCACGGCTGGATCTGTAAACATGGTGGGGAAAATCCATCTGTCCTTCATGGTCAACTGCTTCTGTCAGCATCCAAGGGAATGCTGCCGAGCTAAATTACCCATCGGATTTTATTTCCGAAAGCACTTCATCATGGCTCATATCATGAGTCTCTGAAGGCACTGAAATTCCCTGAGGCAGGCTCCTGGCTCGGCGTCCTATGGACCAAAATGGGGAGCCTGAGCTGTGGCTGCTCACGGCAAAGAACTCCCAATGACCAAAGGACAGCATTACGATTTACCATCTGCAATTCAAGTCTGCTGCATGAAAAGTTCCAAATGCTCCTAGGGTTGTGTCACCAACACAGGTCTGTGCAGAGAGGCTTTCTGGCAGCAAATTACATTTGTGTTTTGGTTTTTTTTTAATTCTTCTTTGAGCTCCTTTACCAAGTATGATGTCAGTGTGAGGGTTTGTGAACCCGGACGAGCCATTAGTTGATAAAGCAGATCAAAACGGGACTCGTGTGGTAGGTTGGGGCTGGCATATAGGACAGTTTGCAGACTGTGGGAAATCCTGCCTGAATGAATAGGAGGATCAAGGGTATTAAAGGTTAATGGGAGTTACTGGAGTACCTACTTACTGAAATGGCATTACACAACTCCGTCCCACACATTGCAATTAACCGACGCAACATACTATTTTTAATTATAAATTAGCTCATTGTGAGATTCTGCTTGTTTGTTTGGAAGTGCATGGAAACATCTGCAGCACCAGAGAGGCTGCTAACACCCTTCTCTGCACCTTTTCTCACTTCAGTCAGGGGTTTCATGGGTCAAAGCACAACAGAAAAGCAGTCCTCTTCACTGAGGAGATGAATGAAGTTCTCAAGGTACAATTTGCTGGGTTGTGCAGGACAAGTGCTGCTGCTTTAAAAGTTCTGATGTTTGGCCAGCAAAACAAACAAACAAACCAACAGCAACAGAAGAAAAACACCAAAACTAAAAAACTGAATGTGTTGTCAATTAACAGAAAATGTTACTGAAAAACAGCTTCTGAAGAAAGTGAAAAGCCACTTGTTTCTGATTCAAGTTTCTGTTTCTTAGAATTGATACTTCTGTTATCTTAGTAAGCAGAGAAAACTATCTGTAAAGCTCTGAATGAGCAGGAAGGAGGGTATCATGGGTAGAGCACTGGGGCATAGGAGATACCGGTTCACTTCCCAGCTACACCACAGCTTTCCTGTATGTCTTTTAGGTTTTCTTCTAAAGTACTGAAATGAATGGCTCCAGCAGAGTTTGTACCACGTTTTGTGAGCTTTGGCTCTCAGTTGTTCTTATTAATTCTACACACTTTCCCTTACTCCATGCATGTTTTGCCTTCTCATTAATACTACCCCAGCGAAAAGACTGCTGGGACTTCTCTTCATATGCATGCACAGAGCAGGTAGCAATAGCAGCTTAGCTTTATTTACCGCAAATATTTAGGTTTTTGGAAGGCAGCTGTCTGCCTCTGCTTTGCTTTATAAACAAACGACATTCTGACATCCTGACATTCTGGTCCTCGTGCACTGCCAGGCTTCCTTTTTCTGTCACTGCCTCCTTCACCGAGTTAAGCCACTTTTGTTCCCTTTTGCTGCTTATGTTTGTACAGCCCTGAGCGCAGTGGGACTCTTGTTTCGTGGCTGGGATATGAGGTGCCTCCTAATGCGCAATAATTAATTTCACTCTATCCACTCTCCCTGTATTTAGAAGCATCAGATTTGCCATCGCAAATGCGACTCATGCTGCAGCTTGCCCAACAAAGCACCTCCAAGCAGCCAGTAGCAGTTGCTTCAAGAAAAAGCAGCTGTTCAGCAAGTAGTTACAGACTCACCCTTCCAGAAGCAAAACTTCTTTTCACCCCATCAATTAGGATATGTATTTTCTAGGAAACATGTTAACTTGCAAATGCTTTGGAAACTTTTATTTTTAAACAATAATAAATAAATACATCCATCTCTATATGCACTTTCCCACCCATTTCCTTCCCCTTACCACCAAAAGGGCGAAAAGTACCCCCAGACTTATTTTTTTCGGTTGCTACAGTGCAAGGAGATGCTCCTGCCACTCTATCTGCATAGGGCAACTGTTACAGCTCTGCAAAGCACAGGGGCTGCCATCAGTTCACAGGATCACAAGTCAGCTGACAGCACCGGGGGTGGGGGAAGAAAAAAGCCACCTGTACCTAACATGTTGTCAACTGCACAACATAAGCACAGTGGAAAATTGCATAAGAAGATGTATTTTCCCCTACCTAACCTCTTCCACTTCTCAGGCACTACATGTAATAATGGAGAGAAAGGAAATGCATCAGCATAGTTCTTATTCTTCCCACTTCTTTCTCGTACCTTCAAAAGGTTCTTCTGTGCAATAAGAAGAACTACGCAGAAGCGGAAAAGCTCAGGTCTAGACTTTTTTAAAAAGCACAAATGCTCCATGGAAAGGAGAGTGGCACAGAAACAGTGAAAAGCTGAAAGACCATTTTTCTCTTTTGTGCATTTTTCGTGTTTATAAATACCAAGAGTGCATTGCCCTCTTTGCTCACTGTTTTCAGTCGCTCCTGCAAACTAACTGTGTGAAATGTGGACTCACTAGCACTGATTTTTTTTCTCTCCAAAATGTCTGCCAGTTACAGGAAATACACAGGGGTTAAAAATCCAGCCTTTCCCAGTTGCTCACCTTGAAAGCAAAGTGGAAAAGACAGCGAAGGAGCAGAGTGGGAATGAAAGGCTCATCTTTTAGAAATATAAATCAATAAACAAAACATGAGGGTCTTTATTACACACATGCACTCCCACTTCCCCTAGTATCAGAGAAAAGAAGGTCCAATAAATCCTCCAGCTTTCATCTGTTCTCTTTCAGGGATGAACTGCACTCCTTTTTCTTAAGCCATACTTTCACTTTAAGCTTCATGGTAATCTTTCATCTGTGTGAACTTCAGTGACTTTGGCAACCACCAACTTTCCTGCAGCAGCTCATTCTCCTTGTTTTACCAGGTCAGTAATGCTGCTTTTGCACAGGAGGAAATATGCAGTCGTTCTTTTCTCCTTTCTGCTTACATAAGAGCAGAAGGAGTTGTATGTCCTTTGACAAGCATAAAAATTAGATAACTGCAAAGTACGTGACTTCAGACACAAGTGAAGGAGCACCGAGAGAACAAACAAGTTAAACAAAAATGAAACAAGTATCAGGAGTGCAAGGGTGAGTGCTGTGTGAACACTCGTGTATAGTACAAAGGAACGAATAGGGAGGGAGGTGATTAAAGGACACTGAAGTTGAGGGCAAAACTCCAGTGTCAGCATCAGGAACAGGGGTAATGTTTGCCCTTTGATCCCTGTAACAGCACTAAAAGTGGCAAGAGGAGGAACAGGTAGTGCAAACTCAGAAATGCCTTTTTCATATATTTTCTTATCTGTTCTCAATTTTGGCTCGCTGCCTTCTGCTAGCACAGTGGCTGCAAGAGTGATGGCAACTGTGGATCAAAAAAGTCAGAGAAGAAAACAAAAGAAGGTGAAGAGTTTGGTGAAACAAAAGCACATCCTGGATGTGACACAAACCATTGTGCCCAGCGAAGAAGAGGACTGAAGAGAAAGAAACCAGTGGAGTGCAGTAACAAAATACGCTGATCATAATCAATGCTTGTGTGAAATGAAGCAACTCGTGCAAACATACAACTAATGTCAAAAGTTACATGTGTCACAAGTGCACTGGCCTTCAAACTCTGTTGTATGATAGTGAATGCCATGACTCATGTAGACAAATTCAGAATAAGGAAGAGACACTTGTACCAACCTCTCTGTATGGAAAAGAAACAGCTCTTGGGACACGTTTTGCAAAGGGAGTGATGCACTCTATACACCCTCCCAAGCGCTCGCTGCAAACCTGCACGAGGGAGTCTGAAAAACGTGCACAGGATGAGATACGGTGCACATGGCACAGGTGTGAGTAGTCTCCTCCGATCAGAACCCGTCTGACAGCTTCGGCTAGGTCTACAGGAGATGGCACCAGGAATATTGCCAGCTGGGTGCTTCTGGACAATGAGATGCATTTTTGTCTGTGCTTCCTGAAGCCATCTTGCAAGACGGCCCCGATAATTACCAACACTTTAAAACAAAAAAATCCCAGCAGATTGGTGGCATGATTCTACTGGTTGAGCAAGTGCCGAAATCTCCACTGAGCTTCTTAAGCCTAATGGAGATCTCAAACTTGCCTTGCAGTGGTGTTGGCTTTTGTAATAGTGACACCTCTTTGTGTCAACACATCTCATTAAGTAATAAAGACTTTCAGCTATTTGATTTTACTTACGAAATTAGTAGCATTCATGATTATTTCTTATTTATTTTTTTCAAGAGGAAAAAAAAAAGTGCTACTACTTGAGCAGGCAGGGAGTCATGCCTAATTAATGAAAAAATATATTAACAACTTACAGTGGGATTCATGTACCGCTAAGAGCTGTTTGTCACGAAAGCTTTTGGGACTGGATTCCTCATATGCTTCTGAAAAGGGAATGGGGAGGAATCATTTGAAACCTTTGTAACAGTTCCCTTAACCATGTCTTGTACTCTGGGTCAGCCCATTCCAACGCATTCAAGTGCAGGGGAAAACGGGGGCATTGGAGAAAGGAGCCAACGACCTAGAATGGAACACAGAGGCAGCAAGCCCAGCCAAAAAACCAGCTACAATGTTTTCTTAAACTCCACGTGCTGGATTTCTTCCCCTTGCTCCCATGAGGAGTGGGGACATTCCTAGAACTCCGGGCTGCGTCAGGGCAGCTGCCCAGGATGCTGGGACACTGTTTGTAAACACTCAGCCACGTGCGCGCGGCCGCGTGGAGCCATCGCCGACCTCAGCACCTACCCACTGCGTAGGCTGCCGCGTCACTGCACTGGCGCCAAATCCTTCCCCAACACGACAGGACTTGGAGCAGCTCGTGCCAGGACACTTGGAAGACAGAGCTTGGGCTCTTCATGCGTTATTAGAGGGAAGATTAAGCGGAAGAATTGCTTAAGTTTTAGTCACCAAAATGTAACATTCAAGATAACGTAGCTCATGAAAAGTAAAGAATGCAGAAATCGTTGGAATATGTTAGAGGTCAGAAGTGATGCTATGAAACACATGAGGGTATTTCATGTTGCTTAAGTTGCATCATCATAATTAACCAGAAAATGCCCAGGGTACTGCCCTGTACCTGTGGAAGGGGTTTCCAATGGGTACCTTGTGGTTATCGAGTTATTCTTGGTTATGTTAACTCACTGCTTTGCTCCCTGATCTGAGAGGAACATAAACACTTTTCCTAATACAACATGCTTTCTATGAAATCAGATTTCCCTTTTTGTTTCTTTTTTTACAACTAAGAAAAGAAAAAAAACAAACAAAAATCACATTCTCATCCAGGACCATAGAGGCTTTTTCACAGTTCCATCTTGATAGCAAAGCTTGGAAAGTTTCTCTGGTAAATGGAATCATACAGACTGTGGAAGCACTTGCCTTTACCTCATCATGAAATTCTTAATTGTTTCAGCATTCAGATACATTTCTGAGGAAACAAGCCTTTTATATACTAGTAGCGGGAGAAACTATCTTAAAAGCCATGCTTTACTTGGTTAGGAAAACTCAGCATTTCCATCCTGTCTTGTTCAGTTCAAGTATAGGATAAGTCTGTTCTTCTACAGACTGCAACAGAAATGCTGCATGTATTTTATTTATTTATTTTTAGACAAGGTTGGCTTGTTGCTTGTTTCTAGAGGCACAAACACAACAAGAATTAGGTCAAACCGAAGCCTCAATGCTACAAGCCTTTATTTATTTGTGAGAATAATCCTACTGGAGTTTCTCATCATACGTATGCTATAAGGCAACAACACTCCAACTTGGCACACCCCCCGCCCCCCAGAAATGTGGGCTTAAAAGGAGAACCTGAGTTCTGTTTGGGTTGCTGAGATGATTCAGCTTTTTAGAAGGTGTTTGACAGAGATGAACAAGCATCCATGAAAAGAGAGTCAGCAATTTAAATCTTTAAGTTTTTTAATTGTGAACCTGTTCTTCAAAGCACAGCAACTCTTTTTGGTGCCACCAGATTTACAATCCTTTAGTATCAACAACTAGTGGTGCTTTCTGATGCTCTTAACAGACAGGACATTTTTGTTCCCTCGTTTCACGAGCACTGAGAGAGATGTGGCTGAAGTTAGCTGCTACTTATTCCTATGCTTCTAGTCTTGCTTTTCTCTACCTTCTGTCAGCCCCTGCTACATAGCATGAGACATACTCCCAGTACTCTAATCCAAACAACTTTTCAGGTCAGTCATCAGCTGTCCTTGGGATTAGTCCAGTTGATGCTGGAGCTTCACCGTTTTATTCCTTAACCCCTCCATCTCCGCCTCCACACACTGAGCAATTCCTTGAGAAATGGGTGGTTGTTTTTTTCCTCTCCATTTTTAAGAGGTTTGTCTGCCCTCAGGGAAGGCAGAAGTGATTTCCTTTCAATGGGTGACTGAGAAGATGATTACTCATGGTACTTTCCATTTCTAACACTTTATTGCCTAGGATATAGGGACAAGCTATGCAAATTGCACACGCAATCAGTGACGATCTGAAAGCATACCAGCTTGAACTGTGGCAACTTGTTACTAGTTACTTGTTCAGTGTTTAAAAGGATACATTTCCTACAGAATATCATTACATGAGTAAGAAGGTACTCACTGCCTTACGGAGAATGAGATGGGAAAAATGCTGCAAGTGTGATTGATTCATATAATTCCCTTTTTGGCTCTCAGCCATGATGCAGTCATATGCTTTATCTCTATTCAGACTACAGCTTTAAAAAAAAAATAAAACATGAATCATAGTACATCCCACTCCATTTCAGAACCAGCACGCTGCCTTTCAAAGTGATGTCACAATGCTCACTGCTGCTGGCTGACTGCCTTAGCAGCAATCTGAGAGCTGGACTAAACAAATACTGTATATTATTTGGCAAAATCATTTGTGGTTGTGTTCCCCAGCACTGTTTCCAAGATAACCACCAACTCTACTTGAAACTTGGCAACTTTGTCCCACCGCATTCAGGCTCCAGTTGTGAAGCTGGCTCACAGAGGCTGTTACCACGCTTCCAGCTCCCGTGCGGTGCTCCACGAGCGAGGCAGGAGGCTCACCCTGATAAGCCAGGTCTGACAGCTCCTTTGAAATTCCACCATGAAAAGCAGACAACGCGAAAACCACCACCTCTTGTTTCTACAGGAGCCCAATGCCTACAAGTTGGAACGAAACGGAGCAGGTGATTTAAAGCTCAGCCACGCTCTGTAAGAAGCACTCTGCTGGGTCGGTAACATCACCGCAACCCAAACTCCACAATTTTTTCAACATCCAAACAGCAGATTTGTTCCAAAGCATGGGGTTTTTCCTTTAGAGCCACTTGGCCATTGCTAACCTAGAAAAGAACCATATGGGACACCGCATCCCAGCACATCTGAAACACGCAGGATAAGAGAATGGTCCCTTCTGGTGCCGGCAGCAGCCAGAGAGCCTCCTGACTCTGCATGCAGAAACCCAAACATTCACAGCCTCCCACTTCTGTCACCCAACGCAGCGCTGGTGCCAGCACGAGACCTTGGAAGTCTGTCCGTCATAATACAGCTCCTCAGTGGGCACACTGTTTGTGTTCTTTAAACAACACACAATTGACACACCAAAGTCTAGGACCATGCACTCTACATCAAAACAATGCCAGTCTCCCTGGCAAAAAGCCAGGAACCAGTGATGCCAAAGCCCCAGTTAAAAACCTTACCACGAGCGGTGATAGCTCAGCAAACTCAGGAGCCCCAGTGCCAACTGTTCAACTTTTTCTTCTTTTGGGTACTTGTTAACACATTCTCATCAGGCAACGCTTGACTGGTTTCTGGGGTCCCTGGAAGCATTTGCAAAGCTTCTCAGCATCACTCCCCAGAACAATACAGAACTATTCCCTATGAAACGTGACTTCTGAGTTCTTCATTTTGGTGAGCAGCAGCTTAGTCCCACTACCTCAACACTCAACTTTTTACATCTTTGCCCTCCCTTTCTTCTCTTCCCAACACCAGATTTAAATCCCTCCCAGACTCACTGGTAGGGCTCACACTGTGCTTTCCACAGCACTAAGGAAAGGAGTCAGAATAATGCCCCACAGTGATCTATTTACATTGGTTCCAAAGGGCTTTTTCTACGGGAAGAATTGCAAGACACCTATATTCATTTTTAGTGCTAACAGCAACAGATCAGACAGACCAGGAGCCCTTGCCTGGCTGGATTTACCAGCATTTTGGGGACAGAACAGAAATAAGCACAATGCAAACAAAAAAACTTCTGAGCGGAATGAGAAACACACAAAACTGTCTTTAACACAGATGTAGCAAAATAGCATCGATGTTTTGTATGGAGTTTTATTTGAGTCTTTAGAAAAGCACCAACTACTCAGCACCAGAGAACCGGAGCCTGGGAGGTGTTGGAGGGCAGCACAGCTCGGTGCCGCCTGTCTGAGAGGGAAAGAGCTGAAAGAGGCAGTGTTCTGCACCACAGTCTATCAAAACCTGTTGCACGACTGCTCTTAGTCATCACGCGCAAATGGTGAACCGTATATAAACAGCACAGGCTTACCTTGACGCGGAGGGGTGAGAGGAGGCAGGTTTTGAGGCAACGAGGAAAAGAAAAACCCCTAGAAACCCGAAACGCGCACACCAAGAACGCGAGGCGTTTGGGAAAAGCGGGGGCAGCCCGAAGGACGGGAGCTAAGGCGGCCATCGCGCGCCGCTCAGGCAAATCGCCCCGGCTCCCGGAGATAAGGAGGGATGATTTACAGCCCCGGAGCGCGGGGCTCTCCCGGCTGGACGCCCGCGGCCACCCCGAGCGCGTCCCGTCCCGCACGCACCTCACAGCCGCGGGGAAAGCGGCCACCCGCTGAGGATACGCGCACCCCCGCCGCAGCGAGGCAGCCTGCCGTCAGCCCGCGAGCGGCACGGCCCCGTCAGCTGGCAAACGACCCCCGCTGACCTGCTTTCACCGGGGCAGCCTCTCCTCCGCTCCGAAACTCCTCAGTGCCGCGTTACGAGCGCCACGGGGAGCGCGGCGCGGCGCCGCTCTCACTGCCGCCCGCGTGCGTGGAAACAGCGCGTGTGAGCGGCGCGGTGCGGCGCGCTGCCCCTCGCATCGCCCTCCCGAAAGGGAAACCGCCCCGCACTGGGGCAAGCGGCTCTGCCCCAATCTCGGGCGCCGCTGCGAGGGCGGCCGCGGGGCACCGCGCTGTCACCCGGCGGTGGAAGGGCTGAGCGAGGGGGGCACGGCCCCGCGCGCGGAGGTTGCACGGAGGGAGGAAAAAAAAAAAAAGGAAAAAAAAAAGACAAACAGAAAAGGGAAAGAAAAAAGGGAAGGCCCGACGGCCAGCCTCATGCACTCCCGCACGCACACGCACACTCACACGCTCCTCTCGCCCCCGGCCCCGGTTTCGTTTCCCCTGCCCTCCGCCGCCCCCCCGGCCCCGCTCCCCCCTCCTCTTCTCGTCCCCGCGGGGCTGCGCCCGCCTTTGTGTCCGCCGGGGCCGGGAAGCGGCACAAAGCCGGCCCCGACGCCCCCCCGCCGGCAGCCCGCAGCCCCCGAGCCGCGCCGATCCCCCGGGGGCAGCGCCGCCCCGCGCCCCCCGCTCACACAAAAGGCGGGGACGGCGCGGCGGGCCGAAGCCGGGACCCGGCGGGGCGGAGTGGGGGGCCCCGCCGCTTCTGTCAGCCGTCAGCCATGTTGGGGGGCCGCGGCGCCCACCCACCCGCGGGCGCGCGGCGCGACCCCCGCCGCTCCCCCCCGCCCTTCCCGGGGAGCCGCGGGGCAGCCGGCGAGAGCCGCCGGCGGCGGGGGTGCCGCTCTGACCTCCGCCGCGTCCCTCAGCCTTGCCGACATCCAGCACGCACAGCCGGGCGCCGCGCTCCCCGCTCCTACAGGGCCGCCATCTTGCTTCCTTCTGCTCCTTGACGAAAGCGGCCGGGCCCCCGCATCAATATGCACGCGGCGCCCTGACGTCGGCGCCCGCCCCGCGCGCCGCGCCGCCCCGCGCCGCACCCCCG